AATCAAACATAGCACTACAGCAGCTCGAAGAAAATCCTGCTCCATCAATCTACAGATCTTTCAAGAAAAAAAAAAAAAGAACACTTTAAAAAAGCAGAACAGGATAAAACCCCTTTCATCCATATTTTCAGGAAAAACAAATTTATCATTTTCTGTGTTATATTCCCTTTTTAGGGAATACACGTTAGGCACTGTCAGCATTGAGAGCATGGCCCACCCATCTGGTGCTAGAAAGTCCTAGAAGGGCTGTTCAGACTCCCCGGCTTTGCCCTCTATACCCTCCACTCAGACCACAGGAGCCTCTTTTCAGTCTTCCTTCCAACAATTTCCCCAACCTGACATGATTTCTACCCTTTTCCACCTGTGATATATCCAAATGCCCTCCCTTCCAGCCAAAAGCATCTCACGCTTGCCATAAAACAAGTAGAGCAAAGGTCTATCATTCTGTGAAAACTCTAAGCTGGACTTCCTTCTCCATTTGTTTCTTTTTCCATGCCTTTCTCTACCATCCCCCCCTTTTTTTAATATTTATTTTATTTTTGAGAGAAAGAGAGAGTGTGAGCGGGGGAGGGGGAAAGAGAGGGAGACACAGAATCCGAAGCAGCACAGAACCTGGCACAGGGCTCAAACTCATGGACTGCGAAATCATGACCTGAGTTGAAGTCGGTTGCTTAACCAACTGAGCCACCCAGCAGCCCCATCCTCTCCAGGTTTTGTATGCCTTGCATGTGTATGTGCGCACCTTTCTCTATCTTTCAGAGAATTAAGTTCTTCTATTAGCTTTTTTTTTTTTTTTTTTCCTTTTTGCAGCTTAAGGTCTGCTGGCTAACTGTGTGATGACCAGAACCAAGAACTTAGAAACCATGATTTGAAAAAAAACATGGTGTTGGTCATTCTGGGCCACCCTCCTCAGGAAGCTACACAGAGAGCCTTAAGGGATCAAGAATAAAATGTGTCATTTGCTGCTTCCCAGAATTCTCTGGACAATACTGAAAATAACCTTAAATTCAGAAAAATTCCTGATTAAGCTTTGGATCTCATTTAGTAGGTTTTAAGTTCACTGAATATAGGAACTGTGATTAAGTCATCCTTGTATATCCCACATTATTAGTACATTATTTAAATACCCTATTTGTGTTAAAGGAAACTTATTGTGATAGTTTCCTTTTTAATGAGATCATAAAATATGCACTTTAGAAAAGCATTCTGCTATATTTAGTATTGGGAGGTACACACAAACTTGTTAATATTGGTTTAATACTCAGGTTTAAAAGTTAATATCAAAACTATCAAGGTCAACATTTAACTCTGCTTCAATGCCTAGCATTTCTCTGAAATAGAAGCTTTTTATTTTTTACTTTATTTTTATTTAATTTATCTTTGTATTTTTATTCATAGAGAGAGGCAGAGAGAGCACAAGCAGGGAAGAGGGGCAGAGAGAGAGAGAGAGAGAGAGAGAGAGAGAGAGAGAGAATCTCAAGCAGGCTCTACAATCAGTGTGGAGCCTGATGCAGGGCTCGATCTCACGACCTTGGGATCATGACCTGACTGAAATCAAGAATTGGACGCTCAACCAACTGAGCCACCCAGGCACCCCTAGAAGCTTTTTAAATATCAACACTCTAGCTACATAATAGCAAGAAGAGACAGCATAGAGATTATAGTCTGTGAACTTGAAAGCCAAGTTTATTGAAATGTCTGTATTATTACAAATACCATTATCTGAAAATTCTATAAATTATTTCAACTTACTGTTTCCTAATAAAAGAACTAGAACTGTCTCCCCAAGACTTCTCACTTTTAGCATAATCACCAGAATGAACAAACTATTTAATGAAATGTTTCAATTTAAAACAAATTATTCGAAAAAAATTTATGCATGCATGCAGATACCACCCCCCAATACACACACACACACACACACACACACACACACACACACACACACACGACCTACAGAGAGAACTAACCCTGCATAGAAATCAGCATGAAATCAATACCTTTTATGTGGCCTTGAAAACACTGATAGACCTACGGATACACTTACTGTGTCTTAGAAAAGTATCACTGGCTTTCTTCCCTGACTACAGTAACAAGGAAAGTGATTCAGAGTCAGCAGCGACATTTTAGTGATCTTTGGAACACAATGTCCAAAAAACACAAGGCAGTGTCCAGCAGCAGCTGAGATGTGACAGTCATCACTCTGGAGATTTGAGGAGGGAAAAAGAGGCTTACAGTTGTCTTTCATATGTTTTTGTCTTTAAGGCAGGACTACCGAATCACTTCTCAATATTCCTTCCATCTATGGAATTCTAAGTCCCCTGATAAAACCAGCATTGAAGGAGAAGTCAGGAGGCAAGATGTGCCAGGACTACGTAAGTACAAGGAAAGTCAGTAGAAGAAATGCTGCTGAGTTGTCCACATGAGCCCTTGCTCAGAATGCAAAGTGACTGACAGTCAGTATAATAATGAGATATAAATTTGGTTAAAACCACGTTCAACAGGAACTGTGGAAGGCTTATTTGGACAACTGAATTGCTTGTATCCTGCTTTTCATTAGCATCAAATATTTACTGAGCAATCATAAGATGCATACTACTGTGCTAGAAGTTGGCATTAAGAAGTTTTAATGTAAGTTAGAAAGTCTGTGCTCTGAAAGTGCTTATAATCTTCAAGACGAGTTCAAGCAGTACCAGATGCTAATCACTGCATCCACTAACTGCTGAAGATGGGAAGTTGGCAAGCATCTAAAGTCAGAGAGCTGAGGCTGGGAACAACGTCTTCCAGATAACAATCCAGCACTGCTAACCATAGCATGAAGGGTTACCAGATATTTGAACTCTGGCAACAATATCAGACCTTTTCTTGCTCAGAGGAATTTAACCATTTGAATTATTGAACAGACCTCTTCAAGGGAGACAAGGTCTGTGGGAAAGGGCAAGCTGGAAGATTCAGCCATGCTTGAGTCACTAGGGGTGGACGCACGCATACACATACACTGCACACTGAACAATTCTAGTTCTTTTAAGATACTGGCGGTATGTTTTGGACATCAGTTTATTACTAAACTAAAAAGTAAATTTGGACTTAGCAAAAACTTATCTAAAGTAATTAACCTTGAGCCCACCAAAAAAAAACAAAACAAAACAAAAAAAACCCATGCAGAGGTAACTATAATAGGAAAATAAAGCCATGTCTGCAATCTCATGTCTCATTCAATATAACCAGAAAGCATAATACCCATATTTGGGGGCCAAAAGCTAACACCAAATTATCCCTTGCTGCTTAATGAGCATGAGAAATCACAAAGGAAAAGTTCCTTAAAAAAAAAAAGATGTTATACATAGTGAAGAGAAATTAGGGAAAGCAATGCATGTGGAAAAAAGGGGACAATTCAAGCAGAAAGACTGTAAGAGTTAAGCACATACCATTTAGCTAAGGGCTGACTAAACAGGGTCATACTCTCTACAAATAACATCTAAGAGTATTCCAAGGATGAAGAATTTTTTGGGTAATATTTGTTAGTGTGCTAGGGAAACAAGGAATTGAGGAGAAAAAGGAATTAAATTAAAGGAAAGAAAATTTATCCTCGATGTCAGAACTTTTCCACATCTATATAAGATAAATACCATGTATGGAGGTTAATGTATAAAAAGTACACATCTCAAATCATGCAGGTATGTGTGCAGATAGACATTTAAGTTAAACAGAATGAAGGCTGTAACAAAATTATTCTAAACCTAGAAACAAGAGCTGTGTTAACTCTCTGATAAAAGGGAAATCATTATGTAAATCATTAACCACTAAGAAACCTCCTAACACCCTGCAATGTACATCAAATTTTATTGCAATTGTGTACAAAGAAAATTGGAGACAAGCTGATGTATTCTAATATCATTCATTTTACCTAGCCTACGCACTCTGGGTACTCAATAGCTCTGTATGCTTATTACCTTATATTTGTCCTTCTTGGAGTGGTTATAATCATAAAAAGCTATCCAGTACCTTGAATAGACTGGATAATTAGAATTACAATGACTGCCATCGGAATATACTGTGTGTCATAATTTCCTTTAAGTGCATTATCCTACTGGTGACACCTACCCTCCCAGCATGCCTTGTATTAAAGGCTGCTTTCCAAGGCACAGAGTTAAGTTTTTTGAGCAAAGTTAGGCTTATCTCAACCAATTTCTTGAGTTGATGGATGAGGTCTCGAATATTTCATCAGGTTCACTTACTTGAACCTACTATATTTCTTTTATAACTGTCTTGTTTGGTTCAGAAAGTACATAAATTTTTGGTTGAACTTGTTATAAGTGTATTTTGATATGTATATAAATGAAAAGTAAACACTTTACATAATGATTTCTTACTTCTTTCTAGAAGATGCATTTGAGAATGTAACTATATACTGCTGCCTAATATATTCTTCTCAGAAGAAACCATGTCAGGCACAGCAAGGAAGGCTACTCTGGGGCTAAGACTAGTATTTCCATTGGAAACAATTACTCAGAGCAGAATGAAATCATCCTCTCTATTTAGGGATGAAGGAACAGACATTATTTATCATGGCACCTTTTAAGAATATCACAAACCAGTGAGGGTGTACAACTGTTAACAGCTGAGGCCAAAGCAATCCTACTGTCTAAAGATGAGGAATAAGATTTAACCTCTACTTTGAGTTTCTGTTTCTCAGTTTACTGTGTATTTCATTCTTGGATTCATAAAAATCAAGAACACACATATGTGTGTACACACACACACACACACACACACACACACACACACACATCTTCTTTTAGATTTATCCACAACTATTTCTCATTTTAATAATTCTGGACTTTCCTAGGAACTTCCAGTTACAATATTTGAGAATGTAGATGTTCCTCTTTTTTTTTTATAATCATGTTTACCTAACACATTAATTTTCCACATAGTACTTTTTCCATTTTGATAGAATTACTATTTTTTCTAATCTATGAAATGTTGTATAATCAATAGGGAGGTATAAGGAAGAAACATAGTAAGTTCTTTTTTAAGAAAGAAATCTTTAGATTCCTTCTTGAAAAATTCTTTTAGGGGCGCCTGGGTGGCTCAGATGGTCATGGTTCATGGGTTTGAGCCCCATGTTGGCCTCTGTGCTCACAGTGCAGAGCCTGCTTAGGATTCCTTCCCCCTTCCCCCTCTCTGTCCCTGCCCCACTCATGCACCCCTGCCCCCAGAATAAATAAACATTTAAAAAAATCTTTTAAAAGATATAGGCAGGGTTTCCATTTCCAGCAACTAGCTGACTATACATGCAGAGAAACCCCTCCCCAAGAAGAATATCTAAAAACAATGGATAAAACATATTTTTAAAATTCTTTTAAACGTATGGTTAAGTTGGCAGTAAAGCACAGGAAATAACTGGAGGCAAGAATCTTTGAAAAAGAACCTTTCACAGGAATGAGCAAGTCTTACAGCTGGTGCTTGCCCTCTGGTTAGGTGGCCAAACGAGGACATTTTTGAGTACGGGTAATTAAGCCGTAACAAAATCGAACTTTTCCAGGCACACCAGGATATATGTCACCATACCTTGAAGTCTTTTGCTGATCCTTGGTAGCAGTTTGGATTTTAACAGGCCACATGTGTACATGGGAGAAGGTGACAAAGCCTAGGGGCTGCATAGAGTGAGATGTTGACCCAGAGACCCACCCCCCCAAACAAAGCCCTGACTCACAAAGGGTGATACCAGAATAGTGGCTATGTTAAAAAAAGAAAAGAAAATTAAAAAATGAAAGAGGGGCGCCTGGGTGGCACAGTCGGTTAAGCGTCCGACTTCAGCCAGGTCACGATCTCACGGTCCATGAGTTCGAGCCCCGCGTCAGGCTCTGGGCTGATGGCTCGGAGCCTGGAGCCTGTTTCCGATTCTGTGTCTCCCTCTCTCTCTGCCCCTCCCCCGTTCATGCTCTGTCTTTCTCTGTCCCAAAAAATAAAATAAAAAACGTTGAAAAAAAAAATTAAAAAAAAAAATGAAAGAAATTTGTCTTACAGAAGAAGACAGCCATGTTTAACTGGAACTTGACTCTTTCATATATGTGAAAAGAAAAAAAAGGGGGCAAAAAGAATTCCTTTGAAAATTCCAAAGCACAAATTCACTCTCATTCAGGTTTCAGGACAGAATCCATACTTAACAGAGTAGCATTAAGAAACCCTGAAATTAAAAATTAAGTTTCAAATAATCCTTGTTGGTAGTCTGCCCTTAGGTACCATAGAGAAGCTAACCAAGTCATCCATGGAGGAACACACAGGCAGGTCTCAAATAATAATTCCCATAAAAAAAATTCCAAGGAATATGAACAAACAATAAAAACAATCACTAAAACAAGTGGAAAGAAGCCTCATGAATGAGAGTCAACAGAAACAACAAACACCATAATCAGAATGGTATAAACTGTAGAGACTAGAATCATCAGATTTAGAATATAGAACATGCTTAATACATTTAAAGGGGAGACAAAGTATGAGAATACAACATAAGACTATCAAAGTTGAAAAGGCATATTTAAAGAATACCACACAGTACTTAGATTTAAAGATATATAATTTAATTTTTTTTTAACATTTATTCATTTTTGAAAGACAGAGAGAGACAGAGTGTGAATGGGGAAGGGGCAGAGAGAGAGGGAGATGCAGAATTTGAAGCAGGCTCCAGGCTCCGAGCAGTCAGCAAGGAGCCCGACACGGGGCTCGAACTCACAGACCGCAAGATCATGACCTGAACCGAAGTCGGCCGCGCAACCAACTGAGCCACCCAGGCGCCCCAAAGATATATAATTTAACGGGGCGCCTGGGTGGCTCCGTCGGTTAAGCGTCTGACTTCAGCTCAGGTCATGATCTCACAGTCTGTGAGTTTGAGCCCCGCGTCAGGCTCTGTGCTGACAGCTCAGAGCCTGGAGCCTGCTTCAGATTCTGTGTCTCCCTCTCTCTCTGCCCCTCCCCTGCTCATGCTCTGTCTCTCTCTATCTCAAAAATAAATAAAAACATTAAAATTTTTTAAAAATATATAATTTAAATTACTATCTAATGAATAAGTCAACCAGAAAAATCAAAGACAGTTGGAGAAAATAGTAAGTTAGAGCTAAACAAGTTACACAGAATGCTGTGTAGAGACACAAAGAAATGGAAAATATGAAAGAAAGACTAAGAAATATGAAGAACAGAGTGAGGAAGCCTAAAATACATCTAGTCTAATCAAGATTCTAGGAAGAATATAAAGAATGAGAGAGAGGCAATATTCAATGAGATATCAGAACAGCATTTTGTACTGAAAAATACTAATACTCAGAAAAAGAAATCCCAAAGAACCCCAATCTGGATAAAGAGAAATCCACACCTAAACACTAGAGAAACTGAAGAACATTAAAACCAAAACGGAGATCTGAAAAGCATCCAGGAAAAAAGAGAGATTATGTGCACAGCCTGATTAGACCCTGAGACTGACATCTGACTTCTGAATAGCAGCAATGGAAGACAGTGTAATAATATCAAAGAGTTATAGAGAAAGCTAGCATTGACCAAAAGTTCAATCCTGAAATCCCTTAAAACTCCAATAAAAAGATTTTTTAAAAAGTCAAAGCCAAAGGACAGGAAGAAAAGGAGAAAAGATAATAACAAAATTTCGAAGGCTGGGAACTGGCATAGCAGGCCAGTTCTCCACAGATTCCTAGTTAGTAGTGGGGGAAGATAACAATCAGTCTTTATTATGCTACAGAATCCTGAAAAGTCTCAGAAACCAGCAGTCCTTGATACTTCTGGAACTAGGGGTAAAGGAGAGGTGAGACAGAGTGAAAGCTATTAACTGTTAAGCACTTAACTGCCTAGATCCCTCGCCACTCCATGCCACTGGGTAAGCCTTTGTCCTAGCAAAAAACTTGGTGGTAAACCCTTCAGAGAGGATAAAACAGGCTTTGGACTAGAAGTTGGCCTAGGCAGTTGAAGACATGGGCATCTTACTGAAATCAAGTGATTAAGTGACCATACTTACTGACTGAGTTATGCTGAGATACCCAACCCTCTGTCCCTATTCAGCAACTGGAACAATGTCAGCTGGACCTTTCCTCTCTAGGCAGAGGTTTCTTCTCTGAGGAATCTGACTAGCTTATGGGAGAAAATCCTAAAATATTGGCACCTGGGATTACACAACAAATGGCTTACCAATGGCTCTCAATATTGGCTGCTTATTAGCATCATTTTGGAAGCTCTGAAAAAATAGTGGTGTCTGGGTTCCACTCCCAAGAGTGTCTTGGGGGAGGGAAGGTGTGGGGAGATGGCCAACAGTTGAGATTTTAAAAAAATCTCTCTAGGTGATTCTAAGGTTCAGCCATGGTTAAGAACCACTACCTTAGAGTGAAACTCAAAAACATATTCAAAGCTTCCAATCAGTTTTTCGTCTTCTGTTAGTAATAAGAGGGAAATCAAGGGTTACTTAAGAGGACATATGAGAAAGTCTTCTAAAACAGGAGAGAGAGGAAAATAAAAACAGGGAAAAAAACCCACAACTTGGAGGAAACAGAAACTCTAAAAACAACAACAACAACCTTAAGATAATTATTTAGGAGCAAAATTGAGCTCTTGAAAATTAAAAGCAGAATAGCAGAAATTTTAAAAATCAAAATAAAACTCAGAAATTAACATGTGGAAATATCACAGAATATATAGCTGAAAAACAAAAACAAACTTTAGAAAAAGGTTAAGTAAGAGAGAAAAGATAAGAAAATTGGAAGACCAATCCAGGAAGGCCAACATTCAAATAATGGAAACTTCAGAAAGAGACATCCAAAAAAAATTGATAGGAGAAAATTCAAGGATGTAGACTTTCATACTGAAAGGGCTAAGAACAATGGTCAAAATGAACTAGCGCAAGCATATCCCTGAAACTTTGTAACATCAGACATAGAGAAAGGCTTAGAAAATTCCAGAGAGAGAAAAACAAAGAAACAGAAAACCAGGGATCAGATTTCTCAAGAACACTGAAGCCAGAAAGCAATAGGAAATGCCTTTAAACTTCTGAAGGAAAATAATTTATCCCAAATCATGGAATATAGGAAACAAGATCTATCAAAGAAGAGAATGGTATCTCCAGGATGATGGTGAAGGGAGATGACCACTATGACCATCGCAGAGGGTAAGCAATCTGAATGACGGGAGCAGTGTAACTCAAAAGGCAGGAATACTGAAGGCTCTCATCACCACACCTGTGGCCACTGGACACTTTGCAGTCTGATGCAACTTCTGGAGTATGTGCTCTACTAAAGCAAGGGAGTGAAACAAAAAATGGAAGGTAGGAAATCAAAGAAACAGAGAATACAACTCAGGAGAAAGGCAGAGAATTCTGTGGATAGCTGCACAGAAGAGCCCCGGAATAACAGGTGCTTATAAGGCTGAGATAGCAACCAGAGGAGAATAGAGGTCTCCAGGAAGGATATCTATCAGGAACAAAAATGGAATTGATAGGGAGTGCTCAAAGAAAATTTTATTTAGAGGCTATTAGAACATGTGAAAAAAATAATGAGTAGCTACTAAAACCTAACTTTAGAGGGCACCTGAGTGGCGCAATCTGTTAAACTTCCAACTCTTGATCTTGGCTCAGGTCATGATCTCACAGTTCAGTTCGTTAGTTCAAGCCCCGCATCAGGCTGTGTGTTGACAGTACAGGGCCTGCTTGGGATTCTGTCTCTCATTCTCTCTTCCCCTCCCCCACTTGTGTTCTCTCTCTTTCCCTCTCAAAATAAATATATAAATTAAAAAAATTTTTTTAACTAACTTTAGGGGGAAAAAATCAGAAGGGAAACAATTATGTATGCTTGGGTGTGAATAATATTTGCATGACAACAAAATAAACAAAGTAAAGTAAAAAAACGCTTTAACTGCAAACTGTAATAAAGCTACACTGGGAGACCGGGTTGGGGGGGTGGGGGGCGTGGGCAATAGCACGGGAGACATGGCAGTGTAAGGGAGCCAAATCTTCATCAATAGCCATCATAATAACTCCTTATTGAGTGAATAGAAAATGGCTACAATTGATTAATCAAAAGAATTAATGCATCACTAGAAAATTATAGGTATGTGTAAATGCCTGGGGAAAAAGCTGGAGTCATCACTTTTAGAGATGGAGTCTGTACTGAATAAGGATGGGTGAGTGTGGCAACAGCTGTATTTGTTATATATGCTTTTAACTGGTATTCAACTTTTTAATCCATATGCATATATTACTTTGATAAAAAGAAAAAGAATACAATCACAAACATATACCAAAATTAAAATATTTTCAAAACTAAAGGTGATATAAAGACAGAATTTTCAGAATTTCAAAATGAAGAATCTTCAAAGGACAAGCATTAATTACCAATAGGTTCTTTTTTTTTTTTGTAATATGAAATTTATTGTCAAATCGGTTTCCATACAACACCCAGTGCTCATCCCAACAGGTGCCCTTCTCAATGCCCCATCACCCACTTTCCCCTCCTTCCTTCCTCCCATCAACCCTCAGTTTATTCTCAGTTTTTAAGAGTCTCTTATGGTTTGTCTCCCTCCCTCTCTTTTTTTTTCCTTCCCCTCCCCATGGTCTTCTGTTAAGTTTCTCAGGATCCACATAAGAGTGAAAACATACGGTATCTGTCTTTCTCTGTATGACTTATTTCACTTAGCATAACACTCTCCAGTTCCATCCACGTTGCTACAAAAGGCCATATTTCATTCTTTCTCATTGCCAAGCAGTATGCCACTGCTTGTGTGTGTGTGTGTGTGTATATATATATATATATACACACACACACACACACACACACACATATACACATATACACACACACGTATATATATACATATATATGTACACACATATATATGTGTGTGTGTATATATATGTATATATACACACACACACACACACACACACCACAACTTCTTTATCTATTCATCAGTTGATGGACATTTAGGCACTTTCCATAATTTGGCTATTGTTGAAAGTGCTGCTATAAACATTGGGTACAAGTGCCCCTATGCATCAGCACTACTGTATCCCTTGGGTGAATTCCTAGCAGTGCTATTGCTGGGTCATAGGGTAGATCTATTTTTAATTTTCTGAGGAAACTCCACACTGTTTTCCAGAGTGGCTGCACTAGTTTGCATTCCTACCAACAGTGCAAGAGGGTTCCCGTTTCTCCACATCCTTGCCAGCATCTATAGTCTCCTGATTTGTTCATTTTAGCCACTCTGACTGGTGTGAATTACCAATAGGTTCTTACTTAAATTTTTAGTGACATATTTCAGAAAGAAGGAAGATGATCCTGCAGGGAAGATCTGAGATGCAAGAAAGAATAGTGTGTCAAGAATATGAAATATTTGTGGATAACGCTAAACACATACAGACCAGGTAAAACAATAATAATATGTCACATTGGTGGGGTTAAAAAAATCAAGGTATACACAAAATTCTGGGTGGGGGTGGGGGGAACAGCATTTGGTCAGATAAGGGATAATGGGAGATAAATGCCTTCTTTTTGTTTTTAAATTTTTAAATGCTTTATTTATTTTTGAAAGAGCATAAGCAGGGGAGGGGCAGGGAGAGAGGGAGACAGAGGATTCAAAGCAGGCTCCGTGAGGAAAGCAGCCCAATGTGGGGCTTAAACTCACAAACTGTGAGATTATGACCTGAACCAAAGTTGGACGCTCAACCAACTGAGCCACCCAGGTGCCCCAGAAGATAAATGTCTTCTAAGGTCCGGATGAAATCTAAATAGAGGGTAAAAACATAGATTTATTTCCCAAAATCTAGTAGAGCCACTAAAGTGGAAACAGAATATGTAACTTCCAAACTAGTAGAAGGGGGAGAAAACAGAATGAAGAAAAAATAACAAAAAAATCAACATAAAAGAATACAAGGAAGGATAAAAGAAGAAATTTATTTTTTTGTAAAATAAGAAATTTAAAGGAAAAAACTGGGCAAATAGAAAGGAAAATATTATATCATAGAAACAGACTGAAAATACAGATGACCCTTGAATAATGTGGAGATTAGGGGCACTGACCCCTTTCCTCCCGTCCATGCATTTAAAAATCCACATATAACTTTTGCTTCCCTAAAAATTTAACTACTAAGATCCTACTGTTTACCAGAAGCCTTACTGATAACATAATCAGTTACAGACTTTGCATGTTCTGTGTATTATCTACTATATTCTTACAATAAAGTAAGCTACAGAAAATGTTATTAGGAAAATCATAAGGAAAAAAGAATACATTAAGAGAACCATACTGTGTGTGTGTGTGTGTCTGTGTGCGTGTGTGTATAAAACAATCCATGTGTAAGTTCCAAAAAAATCCACATGTACTTCAAACCCATGTTGTTCAAGGGCCCAATTTATTAGGAATCACAATCAATATACATAGACTAATTCTGTAGTTTGAAAGACAAGAAAGCCAAACTCAAGAAAAAAAAATCCAATGATACACTGTTTATAAGAAACACACAACATCAGGACAAAGGAAGCCAGAAATTAAAGGTATGGAAAATGATCTATCGGGTATATATGCAGAAGTTAAAATAACATCAAAGAAAACATTAGAGTGAAAAGCATTACTAAAGAGAATAATTACACACTGATAAATATTTTGTTTCACCAGAAATATTTAACAGTTCTAAATGTGTATGCATGTAGTGACACAGCTTTAAAACACATGAAGCAAAAGTGACAAACTTATGAGAAAATGACAAATCCACTATCATTGGAAGATTTTAACATCTTTCTTTCAGCATTTGATAGATCAACCAGACAAAAAGTCATAAAAGATACAGAATATGTCAGCAATACAATTAAAATAACTTGGACACAGGGGCACCTGGGTGGCTCAGTTGGTTGAGTGGCAGACTCTTGATTTTGGCTCAGGTCTTGATCTTAAGGTTTGTAGGACTGAGCCCCATGCTGGGCTCTGCACTGACAGCATGAAGCCTGCTTGAGATTCTCTTTCTCCTCTTTCTCTGCCCCTGCCCCTGCTTGTGTGCTCTCTCTCTCTACCTAACTAAATAAATATTTTTTAAAAATAAGAGAAAATAAAGAGAATAACATTCCCAATAACTGGAACATGCACATTCTTTTCAAGCACACTAAAGACATTTTTTACCAAAGAAAAAAAGACTACACTTGTCTATAAATTTTAAAGGCTCATGATCACATAGATCACATTCTCTGATTGCAGTCAGTTAACCGAAAAATTAACATACAAACATATGTACACACACACTTTAAAAGTAACTTTAAAAAACCCATACATCTGTAAGCTCGATATATATTTAAAACATTTTTTAGGGGCGCCTGGGTGGCGCAGTCAGTTAAGCATCCAACTTCAGCCAGGTCACGATCTCGCGGTCCGTGAGTTCGAGCCCCGCGTCGGGCTCTGGGCTGATGGCTCGGAGCCTGGAGCCTGCTTCCGATTCTGTGTCTCCCTCTCTCTCTGCCCCTCCCCCGTTCATGCTCTGTCTCTCTCTGTCCCAAATAAATGGGTAAACGATGAAAAAAAAAAATTAAAAAAAAAATTTTTTTTTTAAATTAATTTATTTATTTTGAGAGAGACAGAGAGAGAGTGAGCGAGCAGGGGAGGGACAGAGAGAGAGAATCCCAAGCAGGCTCTGCACTGCCAGCATGGAGCCTGATGTGGGCTCGAACCACAAACTGACCGTGAGATCATGACCTAAGCCAAAATCAAGAGCTGGATGATTAACCGACTGAGCCATCCAGGTGCCCCTCAATACATTTTTGAATAACCCATGGGTCAGAGAAGAAACCAGTAATGGAAACGAGAAAATACTTCGATATGAACAATATGAAAATAACACTAAAACTCATGGGGGGCTGTCACTGAAAATGGTGGTATATAAGAAGCTCCAGGACTCCAGTTCTTTACAAAATCAACTCATGAGCTGGCAGAAACTGTCAGAATCAACTTTTGCAGGATTCTGGAGTCTAGTCAAAAACTGAGAACCACCAGAAGAAGGCTAGGTGAAGAAAAGCAGCTGCTTGCAGGAAAAGAGTGCTTGTGAACCTTAAACTGCCGACTCACCATCCTTCGTTCCTCGCCCCTCGCACCTCCCACCTCAGGGCAGTGGCTGTGAAGAGAGCAGCTGCATTCCTGGTGCAGGTCTCCAGCGCCAGAGGGAACAATATGGACCTTATTTCCAAAGAATTGTGGTTGTGGGTTTCGATCTATCTGATGGTGCCCTTAAGGACTGGTGTGAGGAGTTGCCTTTCTTTTGCTCAACGTGTAACATTCCCAGGGCTCAGCTGGCTTTCTGAGTGGCTATATACCAAAAGCACTTAAGTACAATTACTGGCTGAGCAGCCTGGCCAAGGGACAACAATGGGCACAAATGATAGACTGAGAAGCCTGAGAAAGAAGACGATAGAAAAAGAGACACATGGGGGATTGAAAAGCTCCTGCACAAGGGGGGATACAGAAATCCACAGGCATTCCAAGGGCCGGGTACACGCTCAAAAAGGCCTGAGAAACCCTTAAGCTTTCACTCCTGGATGGCCTGCAAGCTCTGTGCAAGCAGGAAGTAAAGGCTAAATAAAGCAGAGTTGTAGACAGGTTGGTTAAGCACTGAAGCAGTTCCTCAACATAGAACCAATCTGGGAGAGGTTTTTCTTTTCTTTCCTTGGCTCCAAGTGTTTAAGGAAATTGTCAAAACACTAGGTCAAAACACTGTGCAATAGAACACCGACCTCAAAAGCTGCACATACGAAAAAATACGTTTTTTTAAAGTAATTTAAAAAAGTCATTAGCTGTTAAATAATAGCAACCCATAACTAGCAGCAACGACAAACCCTGGGAAGGGGGGGCGGATTTTCAGAGTTGTCACATTATTATCATATTCAGAATGTTCAAGTTTCAGGAAAAAATTACAAGACATGCCAAGAAAAAGGAAAGTATGGTCCATAAATGGGGGTGGGGGGAGAAATTAATACAAACTATCCAAGAGGAAGCCAAGAAGATACTAGATTTACTAGACAAAGACTTTAAAACTTGTAGGCCATAGATTATGTGCACCATGGTGGGAAATCTATAGTTTAAAATGCTTACATTAGAAAATAAGACTGAAAATTACTGAATTAGATATTGAATCAACTTGTTATTAATTGTTAAAGTTATTAGAAAAACAACAGCAATAGAAAATGGAAGAGATAATAAAGATAAGAACAGAAAACACTGAAACAGGAAACAATGATATAAGGTAGAGAATCAGAAAAACCAAAATCTGTTCTTGGAAAAGGTTAACTGTAATAAGATGGATCAGAAATAACAGTAAAAAGGGATAAATAAACACTAGTAGGCATAAGAAAGAGAACATAATTACAGATGCTACAGAGATTAAAAATTTAAGAAATTATGAATAACTTTAAGTCAATAAATTTGAAAACCTAGTTGAAATGGACAAATTTCTAGAAAAATATGAATTACTAAAACTGACTCAATAAAAAATAGAAGACTAGTTCCATAAATAATAAGATATTTAATTAACAGCTAATAATCTTCCCACAAGACCCTGAAGGTTTAACAGGTAAGTTCTGCCAGATAGTCAAGAAACAGACAAATTTAGTATCTAAAAAAAAAATATTTTAGGGGGGGAAAGAAAGCAAAACCCCACAACACATTCTATGAGACTGATAAGACCTGAAAACAAAATCAGACAAGGAAGTACAAGAAAATTCTAGTTGACCTGACTTACGAATGCAAATGCAAAACTAAATATTTGGTAAAACGAATCCAACAATATACAAAAAGTTATCATGACCAAATTAGATTTCTTCCAGGGATTCCAGGTATGTCTAACATTAGAAAATATTATAATCTACTTCATTAACTTTAAACAAGAAAAAACATATGATCATTTCAACATTTTCAGAAAAAGCATTTGATAAAATTCCACCACTATTCAAGAATTTTAAAAACTCTTAGCCAACCAGAAATATAAGGCAATTTCCCTAACCTGATAAAGGGTAGGTATCAAAATCCTGTTAGCATATGTGTTTTTAATGGTAAAATACAAGCATTACTTTTAAAATTTAAAAACAAACAAATAGGAGAAAGATGACCACCAGTGCTCTTTCTGTTTAATATCATTCTGATTTCCTACAATCAGAGTAAAAGAAAGGGAAAACAAAACCAAATGAAATTATTATCCATATAAAATATTGCAAAGAAACTACAAACAATTATGGTAAATAAGGGTTTAGCAAGGTTGCCAGATGCAAGATCAAAATCCAAAAGTCAGTTACTTGTCTATACATTCTGTAATATGCAGATTATATTAAAGATACTATATTTATATGCAGTAAATATACATATTTATGCATATATATTTTTTTGCTATATATATATTTGCTATATATATCTCACAAATGTTACAAAATTTGTAACAAAAAGATGGAAGATGTAGAGAAAATTATAAAATATTATTGAATGACAGTAAAGAAAACCAAAATAAATGGAGAGACACATCACATTCATGGATAAGAAGACCCAACATTGTAAAGATGCCAAAAGTACTGGTAATGTTTGATCTCTTTTAAACTTAGTGATGAGTAATGGGTCTTCATTTTATTAAAACTATTTAAACTGTACCCAAACATTATATGCCTTCTTTTGCATGTATGGTCTATTTCAGACAAAAATTTTTACGATCCAACTAATAAGGTTTTAAGAAAATTTTAAAGGGACAGTTTTAGTTTAAAGAAGTTTAAAAAATTCCTTTCAAAAATCATCAAGTATATCAAATGTTCAGCCAAAAAATTAATAATAGCTCACATACACATGCATGTATATGCACACACAACACTCAATGATAAGGAGGACTGGAATAAAATCAGAAGGTAGGTTCTGTGGAGACAATGACAAAGATGTTGGTGAGACAGAGGGCATGGACTTTGGGTGGGATTTTGCCCTAATCCCAGGATGACTGAATGCACTGTAGCAGAGACAGTGCCTTTTATATTAGACAACTGGCGAGCCACATGAGAACAATATTCCCCTCTGGCAGGCTGACATTATAGGGCTCAGTGGGAAAACCATAAGCCTAATTTTCATGGCAGCACATAAGGAACAGTGACTGACTCAGTTGTACTATAAGTACAAAATAAGAGTATTTTCTACCCTTAAATCTCACCTAAAAAGTTTTCTTTTTCTTTTAAGCTTGCAATTGATTCTCTCTGTAAAGTGTCTTGTGATACTGTGAATTAGGCTATATAAAAATAAAGCACACTGCATTATATAAAGTTTTACTGCCTCTCTGCTATAACATCAAATGTGCTTGATTCTCCAGGCCTAATTTGTATATCTTTAGATTCACTGAGTAGTTCTCACCTTATGAAGAATTCAATAAAATGGTATTAAAAGAGACAAAGATTGCTGTCAGATATAAATTCTTTTTTATCTTTCCTCTGAGCCTCGGCCTTTGGCAAATGGTTCTTTTGGATTTGCAAAATGTATCCCAGCAGTAAAGGTCTGCTTAGTTCATACAGAAGTTAGATCAGTTAGCATTTATAAACTAGAATAACCCATTTCTAAAAGATACATATTAGAAAGTCTTCACAACTAGTGTTTCCTTAGTCACATAATTGATAAAGAAAATCACGGTGTTTTCAGGCCCCAGTAGACTGGAAAACAGTTTGGCTGGGGTATATTTGATAACTCCTGAATGACTTCAAATGTCACAAGAAGACAATGCTTGAATATGGTGGCCAATTCAATAGGGGGAAAAAAAAGGATAAAAGACATCTAGGCTTCACGGGGAATCTTCTCTCATCTTGCTTGGAATATACTGTCAAAAATACACTTGGTTCATATCAAATCTAAATGTGCAGGATTCTTTTAGCTTTGACCTCAGTTCTCTACTATTGGCTTCAACCT